TTACAAACAGCAATTTTATAAGCATTTCCCTCACTTCCCTTATAATTAATCATGATTTAATTACCCTAAAACTATCAGTTACAGAGTAAACATTCCACAATATGTAACTTTTTTAAAAGGTAAAACAACTATACGAAATATTTTATTTTTAAAAATTACTGTTTCTTATCTCGGCCACGACGCCCAACATGACTTCCCACCTCAAAAATTTTACACAGTAAAGTCACATGCTATGGCCTGAATAATCAAAGTTTCATTTCCAACAGGAATGGAGTAATTCTGTTCACTGCCACACAAACAACAGCCCCACAAAGAATAACATCCAATGACTTCAGTTACATCGTTATCTAAGGCTAAAAGCAACCATAGTCAAAAACCACAATCTAGCGTCAAAGTTTCTTTCCTTGTAGACTCACCCCCAACAAAGGCATCTCCAGCTCCATTGGTGTCTACAACTTTTTCTGGTGGCAATCTGATGGCTGGAAATTCATTTACTATACCATCTGAAACAAGTATTTGATAGCACAGAGCAAAGTTAATTTAAATTAAAATGGGTAGGAAGTGTATCACTGGGAACAGACAAGACGTACCTGGACGACGTGTTCTTCAAGTGCCTGAGCACTGCGGGTCCCAACTTTTCGTTGGCTCGATCTATAGACATTCGGTAGGACTCCTTGGACGAGGGATCGGCCCGTCACAAGGCCTCTACCTGTACGCAGAACAGCACAACACAGAAAAACGCGGACAGACATCTATGGCTTCAGTGGGATTCGAACCCACGGTCCCAGCGACCAACCGGCACAAGGCCCACGCCTCAGACCGCGCGGCCACTGCGGACCCTTACAAGAAGTTCTGTGCAGAAAAAATGACAACTAAATTCCTTTCATCTTTCACCATCCATCTGACAAATAAGACAATCTAATGAAGTAACAGCCAAAAAAAGGTCATTGCCTGAATTCTCAACTGAGCTTATAGGAATAAAAGGTAGACAGATTCATTCACGGACCACAGAGCGACACACACAAATGCTACGCAAATTATATGAGATAATAATAAACAATAAATATGTTAAAAGATTTGGAGGGGAGAAAAAAAACTTTTTTAGGATTCACCTGCACAGAATATGCAAAACGAACAGAAACATTCTGTAGATTAGTCAGTAACCCAACTGAGATTCACACCAAGCAACTTTCAAATGCAGGGCTACAGTGTTGCCAATACAATTCTATCAACCTGCTAAGTACAGCAGAAGGAAGAGTCGTTCAAAGTTGTTAAACCAATAGCAGAACAACGATATCAGCCGGCAAGCACATGACGCAATGATGTAATGAAGATAAAAGGGAAAGAAGTTGGAGTAGAAGGTTAAGGGTCACGGCCTTCAACACAATAACAAAAATCTATCTCAACACACAGATAAAGCTTGTAGAATTCGATAAAATAAATAGTTTACGCTGTATGCATTTCTCTCCGACGAACAATAATTTCTTAAACACTGTCATCCAGTCTCAGAAAGCCTTAATGACGATAATATACAACATATATGAACCTTGAAATTCATCTGTAACTTTCAAATATGTGCCCTGTAAAGACATAATTATAAAATCAATTAGTAAATTACATGTCTTATAAAGAAAAAAAAATCTTATATTCGAATTGTGAAATTAATTTCATTTAATTTCCTAAATTCCACGCTCTTTTAGTGACAGAATTCCAAAATTCATCTTGGAGAATTCTTATGAGCACACATCTGCAATACTACAGCTCTTCGACTATTTATTTTGGTAAAAACTAACCTTAACCGTACCATGCAATTAGAATACTTCCATGCAAACTATTCCAGCACTTTGAATTTCAGATTTAAAGGATTCTTCTACCTTTTGCAAGAAGAACCGGATTCTGTCCGTGCGTAATAATCGCAATCCTCGGCCTTTTAAGGTTCTTCTTTGGTAACTGTGTTATTTTCAGAGCTATCTCCATCAGGTCATCTGTTCCGAAGCCTTGTTCATTTGCAAATGCAGTAACTATTCCAGCAGAAGAACGGCGAATAACATTACCGAATTATGCAGAAATAAATAAACGGCAAGATTGGTGCATAGGCAGTCTTCGTAGTTACATTACAGAATAAGAATATAACTTATAGCCCAGAAGATCACAACTGACATTAACATTTTACTAACTTTTACATTACAGAATAAGAATATAACTTAGAGCCCAGAAGATCACAACTGACATTAAAATTTTACTAACTCCATTACTTTTTAGGCATATATCTTGATAAAATATTACCAAGTGATTATGTAAATATTATATAGATTAACCAAATAAACTGAAATTTATCCCATGAACCATTTTCTTATGTTAAAAATTTAACAATGTCAGACGATAAGACTAAAATGACAGAAATTGATACATTCATTGCTACAACCATGACCAAAGCCGCTATTCGGATCGTGAAGCCAGCCTCCTGGTTATCGAGGGCTGAGAGAGGTTACGACATCCGGAACACTGAAGCTGACCACTACAATACCATAATGGGATCGTGCTAAATCCATGTGCAATTTTACCTTTTATTCGCAAACTGAGATATTTTTAACTTTACCATTACACTTACAGTTTCATTCCCAAATAGGATATCGACATACGGCATGGCTTGCATCATTGGTTCCTTGAAAAACTGAGACAGGAACGGAGCACTGAGATTCATCATGAATGGACAGTCGTGTTTCAGAGCATGGTTTGCCACTTCCATAATGGATGGTGGACTCACCGTCAAGAAAAAACCCTATGGAACCAGACGATCTAATTTAATCACTGAACACAAGGGAGAAATGCAGGGCGTGCCTTTCTGCCGAAGGGCATGAGGGCTTGTATCATAAAAATTAGTTACATACTGAAATGAGTTTATTTTCATCTATGCTGTGTTAATAATAATAGAATCAATGAATGATGTTTAACACACAACAAGTTTACTGCATTCAGAAACTATTCAATACATCTTGTACAGCTGATTTAAAAACGAATTGTGAAGTGATTTTGCAGTGTTTCGTTGTGTATCCATGTGTGGGTTCAAACACCCTTACTGTTCCTTTTGGACTTGCATTTCATATAAAATAATTTCTAATGCATGAACCACAAAGAATAGGACAGAACAAGAAGGCTTTATGCGAGTGCCCAAGAACAAAATTAACAGTAATCTCCATTCATATGGTGCAGTTTTAAAGTTCCAACAGAAGAATGTATATAAATTCCAACTTACAGAGACATAGAAGAATTTTGCACTGTCTATGTACACTTTGTTTTCTGGTTTGTGTATGTGATCTATTGTGAAGCAGTTGGCTGCTGCAAGATTAGCACACAGAGAGCGATGGTTGCCATTACTAGTAACAAGAACTGCACATGTTCCTGAAAACAATCAGTATCCATACTAATCAGCACAAATTAAGACACAAGATCTCTAATATTCTGCAACTTCACATTAAGAGCAACTAACCTGTAGGTTCCTTGTCAGTGTACTGGTATTGCACATTCACTCCCTCACTTCTTGTTTTATCCTCCAGAATCTTGCTGTATTTGTCTCGACCAACACAACCCATAAACACAGTCACATCTGGCTGCTTCAAAATCCACTGAGAAAATGAGAATAATCATAAACAAAATTTTTGCATAACTTGTCAGGTAAAAAAAAAAGAGTCCCTAACGTTTTTGTTATTCACGAATTATGCACTAAATAATGGTCGAAAAGAGAATGCAGTTTGGATCTCACTGCCATAGGATATTACCGTGTTGTTTTGAACCCATGACTCTCGTTCCTGAAAAGGTTTAATCGGTTAGGTTATGTTATGTTAGCTTACAGTACCCATGACTGCACTTTTTCCACATTAACTCTTCATATGGTAAACACTTTGAACATTCGTGAAAACAATTACCTGCGCCACTCTCAAAGTATTTTGTGTTGCTCCGCCTGGAATGTAGTTAACTTTGTACTTCTGAACCATTTCATCGTACAGAGGCTTATGTTTGTCTTCCGCTAAAATAGCATTATTTGGTTTCATATCATACTTGGAGAGAAAATCTTCATCAACATTCGCGGAAATATCAAGCAGTGGATTACCCAATCCTACAACCAATCCAGAACTGACGAAAACAAAGAAAACTTACATTAAAACAATTTGTGTATTCATAACCTAACATACAAACAGCAATCGGATTCCGCAATCAGTGCACCAACCGTTATTAATAGTCTGTTCAGAATGATGGCTACATTTCAATACTCTCTTTTATTTAAAATAAATTAATAAAGTAATTTACCGTACTACTCCCTCCATTGTAAACGTTTTTCGACTACTGAAGGTAATTAAAGTAAGTAACAAAACATATGTTACTGTTTATAATTGAGATTTTATAAGCACACATTGAAGCATCGTGTGCAACGCTATGCAGCCATATTGAAAAGAAGGGGATAATTTATGGATACTTTCTGTTTCCGAAGTTATAATCCCTGCTGGATTTAGCGTGGCTCAGTGCTTCCCTCTGCAGGGCGTAAAGAAAATCTATGGTACTAGTATTAGGAACGAGATGTCAGAAAGTCATTGTCTCGACCTGCCACCTTCACAAAATCTTTGCATTACTTCACACTCCTTCCTATCAGGCACATTTATTACAATTGTAAGAGTTATTTATTAATAACCACTTTTGAAATATACATACGATTATGCAACTCTTTGTAAGATGGTCACTTGGAGTAAAGCTATTCTGTATCCGAGCAAAAAATTATTCAAAATACTTTCCAATCTTGGTCACCTCTGGTTTTGGGCCAATACCTCCACAAAATTTTATAGACTCTACTCAAATATGGTAATAACTGGTGGATATACAGTTTCTCATGGACTCTGGTTTATTCATGTAATAGAAATATCAGATTCAATGTTTATGTAATGGAGTGGCATCTTACATTAATTTTTCCAAAGAATTCAACCCTGAAAATTTTTAACAATTCTGTGTGAATCTCAATCACTCTGAGCAAAGCTATTTACAATATCAACAACTCAATTACTTGGCTATTTCTTGTGTACAGTGAAAACATATTTTAGGGGGTTAAAAAGTGATTCAATCTTCTAAAATACACATACATCAAAATAGGGTTCAAACATTAGCATTAAAAAAATTCAATACAAAACACTCAAATGTATGGCTTTACAGAAATTAGAAATATGTTACACCATGTACAGAGCAAGACATTTGTTTCAATTAAACTTTGCCCAGAAGATAAACTGCTGATTATATGTGCATGACTTTCATTTACATAAATGCAGACATATCTGAACTTCAACACCTTCCCAAGCATTATTTGGGGGGGGGGGGCTGATTTATTTTGGGAGGGTCTACATTTTTTTGTGATTTGTGGTCAGTATCATCGCTGAAAAGGTGAGATTTGGGGAGATGTATCTATAATTTTGGGTTTAAAATTACATAATACTTACTGTTTCAAGCAATACATGCATACAGTACAATCAAAATAATAAAGTTACATCTATCCTTAACAAAAGGAGTTCCAGTCTACGAGCCCAGATTTCTTCAGATGCTTGAACGCCACTCAGACAAGTGTCTTACATAAAAACTTGTAACCATATTGTAAAGATATATGATACGTAGCAGGAACTTATATAAAAAAGGAACTATTTCACTTTCCTGCCAATGCAGGTCACACACATAATACTAATTTTGAAAACAGGGGCATTCCTTTTCATGTTTATTGAGTTTATGAAAACCACTGAACAGGGTACCACAATTCTGGCATCTGTAGTTCTTCTCGTGTGTCGGTACACGTCTTCTTATACTATCCCATGAACTGAAACTCTTAGAACAGATATCACATTTAAATGGACGTGTATGACGTCTCACATGATTGTAAAGTTGTATAGATGTCCTGAATGACTTATCACAGTGAGTACACCTGAATGCGTTCACATCAACATGATTGAGCTTATGACTTCGCAATGCTGATTTGGAGGCGAAAGCAGCTTCACAGATGTTGCAGCCGAATGGTTTCTCACCATTATGGCGACGCAAATGAACACTGAGCAAGATGAAGAAATTTCTTTCCACATATTTCACATACATGGGGTTTCTTGCCTGTATGTCCTCTCTCATGACGCTTCATTACACATGTACTTACGAATCGCTTATCACAGTATACACACTGATAAGGCTTGACTTCCAAGTGTATCTTTGATTAAGCATTCAGTGCATGTCTGTCAAAGCACTTCTTTTCACAGAGAGTGCATAGACATCTGCGAACCAAAGCACTTCTTTTCACAGAGAGTGCACAGACATCTTCGAAACTTCAGATGGATGTGATCAACATGTTTCTGTAGCTCTCCTTCGGAGAAATACAATTTATTACAATGATCACACTTGGAAGCATTCTTAGATGCTTTATGCTGCGTGCTGAGACTCTGCAAGAATCTGTAACTGATGGAGACTTATCTGCCTCATGCTCACTGAGTATGTGTTGAATGTATACACTTTTGGTGATAAAACGCTTCTGGCACAAGTGGCCACTGTTTCTGGTCCATGTGGGTGTAGTTATGGATTTCATAGTTATGCTGATGTCAAAACTGCTCATCACACACATTACAATCAATCAGTTTCCACTGTGTGACAGTTGTTTATCATCTCATGTGTTTTCTGCCTTCCCTCATTTTCATCACTTTGTTCATCATGTACATTTAAATGTTGTATCAATTTCTAGTCCAAAACTACTATGGCCGCATAAGGGGCATTGTAAAAAACCTTCAGCATAATGTTTCAAGTGGTCCTTCAGTTCAGTAAATGAATGAAGTACATGCTTACAGCACAGAGGGAAATTTATGCATGCCATATAATTCACGGTAATCCACCTTATAAATGATAATTTCTATTTCTGAGAAAACAGGCAAAGAACACAATTAAATATCCACTTAACCTCACATTTCTTCAGTTTCGGTACATCGAACTAAATGTAATTACCAACTACTGATAATAAACAATAACATGAATTGCTTGTAACAAACTAACAAGGTGCTACAAATTTATATGTGAAGAACATACATTTTCTAACATAGCAACTAACCGCCCAACAAACACAAATGCTGATGAATCATAAGATGTCACAGTTGAAAAACGTAATCAAAGTAACGTGTAAGATTCATATAGTTTTATAAATACCCTGCGTTAAATTTGAAAGTCTCCTCATTCATAAACGCTTTTCATGTTATAATTACTAATTATAATCTGTATTCCAAATTTAGCGTTTATATTGGTGAAAAATAATTATGGTATCTAGCTGATAGATGGAACAGAAATCAGTCCTGCATCTGTCGCCATCTTGTGACCGGCATGAAAAACACGTAGACACCGAAATAGTCTGATTCTATTAAAATGGTCGCAACTTAAATTAAATTACCTTCACATTACATTCCGTGAAGGAAACTAACCACAGCAAACGATAGAAATCCAAAAACTGTCCTGCGTTCGGATCAAGGCAAAAACGGGTTTTTCTGTGATATCCAATGATCAGATCCACGATAAGCTATTGGGCGATAAAGATTGGTTTGAAACATAGGCATCTTTCGAATTTTGCTGCAGTAACGCTGTGGGCACTCTTAAATAAAAATTAACGTCATGTTGATTTCCACAGCTTCATTATGTGAACTTTTCGCACATGACAATGCTTGTTAAAAAGTATACTTTTTACAATTGGAGCATTAGGGGATAAACAAGGAACCGGCTTTGGCAATATTTCCTTGATGATTTTGATAAACCACAAATTACCCAGGATATTCCGTATGCCAATCAGACTTTATGCCCACTATACGACAGAAATTACTGTTGAGAGCCACAGAAGTTACAAATTAACACAATAGAGTAGAGTTCTCCTTCAGAATTTCAGCTAGTCAAAAAGTTGATAGTGGAACCACGGTTCCGGAGAATTTGACGTAAATACGTCTATACGGAAAGGAAGTTTATATATTGGCTTTATTCTAAATATTTCCTTTATACATGCTTTACAATTGAGTAAAGTTTGGTTAAGACATTGCTTATTTAACTTGAATTAGTTACGCTTAAGATGGGTCTGTGGTAGATGAATGTAATGTAATGTTTTATAGGTAACAACAATGCCGAGTAAACACGACGTTTCCTAGGTAACCAGGTTACACTTTTTCGTTCCCCTTTTTTGCCGAATGACCCTTCCTTATAGACGTATTTACGTCAAAAATTCACCACATTTTGGTAACTCGAAGTTTCGTATCGTTTTCACAATCTGGTAAGAAGTCGAGTTACATGCAGTAGGTGGCGTCGCTTGTATGCATATTTAATTGAATCAAGTTTCTTTAGATATGAACCCGTTTTTGATATCGTGACAGACTCACAAATGAAACACACATGTGTACAGCGCAAAGGCAGCATCTCAGCGAACAATTAAAACTAATCTGTAAGATTTATATTTTATTAAACAATGATATTGATTTTCTCGGGGGGGGGGGGTGCCACTGCGGACCCCAGGTTTTATAAGAAGTGTAAAATTCCTGTCAGCGACAAATTTTTAAAGCCCGTTACATGCGTGGAACGTCCACCAGTTTATCAGGGAATGTTTCGCAGTTGTTAAGGTTAGCATCAAATAGTTTTGGCGCCGGATTAACATCAAAATGGTGATTGTTATACGTTATCCGTTTTACGCATTTTTGTTATACGTGGTGATTCGTAGGAACGCGACCCCGCCGTGTACAACGAGAGTCACTTGTACAGTTACGCGTAATTCTGATACTTCGAAACAAGATTCGAATAAAGGACGTCTGGAATATAAAGATGTCGTGATGTAGTGGTAATCCACTGCACGAGAAATCTTGACTATGGCAGATAATGATTTTGTTCGCTTCTAAGTCTAAGATCAAATGAATGATTCAGAAAACCATAGTGAATAGTCATTTCCTTTTGGATATTGTTTCATGTAAATGGCCGAAAGGTGGCTCGTTCGTAGATAATTTAATGACGTGGTCTAGGCAACACGGAGTTTTTCTCCGTGGCATCCCAACAATTACTCCATTCACACACAGAAGAAGGCAATGGCAAACCACTTCTGGATCATCTGCCAAGAACGTATATGAGCAGGTCCCAGTCCGAGAAAAGGATGGAAGGATCCTGTTCATAATATATGGACCTGTCGTCAGACAGAACACTAAATAATAATAAGATGAGGTGGTCTAGCGGTCAGAACGCTGGCCTTGTAATCCTGGGGGTCTCGGGTTCGATTCCCTGCGGTGCCCGAATTTATAACTTGTGTTGGGCAAGGCCGTGGTCTAGGCAACACGGAGTTTTTCTCCGTGGCATCCCAACAATTACTCCATTCACACACAGAAGAAGGCAATGGCAAACCACTTCTGGATCATCTGCCAAGAACGTATATGAGCAGGTCCCAGTCC